GTTTCCAGTATACTTCACTTGGTAAATCACAATTTTTTGTTATTTTTTCAAAAATTAAATGACTTATATTAAAGATATGAAACTTTACTAAATAGATTCAAGAGACAAATTTATATGCTGTTATTTTCTGACAGGTTCGCATCGTCACAGCTCAGGTGCTTCCCTCTGGGGAGGAAACTGGGTGTCAAAATTACTTGCGGTGATTGGTATCCACCTATATGGGGCCACACTAAAAGATATATCAGCTGCCGAGGAATTTACTAGATCTGCAATGGTAAAACTCCAATTCACAGCCCATTAGAAAAAAAAGTTCTGATAACATCAGAAAAATCAGATTAGAAAAAGGAAGTTAAAAATTTACTTTTACTTTTAATTACAAATATTAAGATGTTTATTTGACTTACAAAAGTTTTCAGTCTTTAAATATTTGTACTTTTTCCTTTATTATTACACAAATTTCAAACTGGCAAAAATCAAATACTCTTTAGTCGTAATCGTAAAAAAAATAGGAGGAATTGTTTTTAATGAATTATGATTTGGTTAAGAGTCGTTTTTGGTAAATAAAAAAACTTTAAGAAAAAACTTCAAAAGAATTTATAAGATTATATTTAATTTCCATTTGTTTATTTAAGCCAGATGTCATCTCACTTTTCGCTTTCTTAAAATCTTGTACATTCTAAAATATTGTAAAAGTAATATAAAATAGCAATCACCTTAGAATTATTTATGTGCTATAAATCTTTCACACAAAAATTAGAATTTATAACTTATTTCTTAGAATTCATTCCTTCTTTATTCAATTCGAATTTTTTATTTTACTTTAATTGAATCAAAAAAACATATTACAATGAAGCATTTTTTGTAATAAATCATTTTCTTAAGAATAAACATCGCATAAAAACGATTTAATATATATATATATATAATATAGGTATATTTCTTAATAATATAATCTCAATAAAAATGTAATATCTGAAATCGCATCAAATTCCATTACGTACAGTGAAATACTCCAAATTTTGAGAACCGTATTTTATTTTCCAGTTTCATTTCCCTCAAACAAATTATTTATTTTTCTTTAAATTCATTATACGAAAAAGTCCCGACTCCCTTTTTATTATATATATATATATATATATATATATATATATATATATATATATATGGGTGTGTGTATATAGTTTTGTTTTTCTCTTTAAAAAAAACCTTCGAAAACACGATTATGAACAAATTCCGCCATCCTCCTACGCAATATGAATATGAAAATTTAAATATGAAACTTTAAAGCTACTGTAGCCTTATGAAACATTTTAACGCAAATTTTCTATTATTCGACGCAGTTTTTTTTTATTCTACAACCTTGAATCAAATCCAGAAAAGACAAGTAATTGCAATCAAAAGCATGAGCTGTAAAAAGGTTACTGAGCGTAAAAAAAAGAAAAAATAAAAAAAAGAAAGAAATTTTCGCTATTTTTTAGAATTTTCTTTCATTCACGGTTTTTATGAACACAGAAAGATAGCATTTTATTATTCCTGTGAAAGCCATAGGTAACAGGTGCTTCACCTTCCATGTATATTAATGTGCAACAGTCTGTTTTGGTTTCAGTCCAAGTCACAGAACTTTTTTTATTTTCGTTTGTTGCTTTCCTTCCATCTAAAATGAATTTTCAGTCATTTTGCCAACTCATTATGGAAAGAGAGAAAAAAAAGAAGAAAAAGTGAGTGCAAAAAAAAATAAATAAAAAAGAAGCTTTTTCGTTATTAAAATATGTTTTTGTACGGATAAAAAATGTTTAAATGGAATTATGCTAATTTTTTATTTCGTGCAAAAATAAAAATTTCTGTCATTTGCTTTATCACTGCTAATGTAGTTTTTATCAGAGAATATTATTAATTTACGCATTGAGTTATATTGAAAATTATTTTTTATTTTACAAGTTATATTTGCATTGTTGCTATTAAAACCGACTAGTTTTTTATGTATTTATATTTAGAATGGCAATTTCTTGTTTTCGAAAGATTTAATATCGACACTTTTTAAACCAATTTTGATTTTTTATTCACATAAATATCAAAATATATAATGAATTTTTATATCTAAGTAGCTGTTTTGTATGTTTTATTCTTAAATTGACACACATTTTTTTTCTTTTAACTGAAATTTACGAACTTAATTTTTTATAACAATTATTTTGGAAAACAAAACCCACGCACGCACACACATTCAACATACATATAAGCTTTGACGCGTATTTTCAACGTATTTTAATATTTTAAAAAATTAAATAATGCTCTTTTCTAAATTAAAAATAACTATTTAAGTTAGACATGTAATTTTTTTACATAAAAGTCACATCTTTGTAGAAAATTGATTAAAATAAAATAATCATTTATAAGAAATAATCGTCCGCGATTATTTTAAGCAGCTTTTCCAAACAAACGTATTAAAAAAAAGGGATTTTTTGATAACGTCTGGGAAAAAAACAAAATTATTCAACAAATAAATATTACTTAAGATTTTAAAAACAAACGTTGCAATGAATATTTAAAACTTAACTAATTATTTTGCGAATAAATAAAAAAATAAAAATCCAACATGACAGTTTGATTGACTTTCACAATATAAACGTATGAATAATATAAACGTAAATTCACGTAAATTTTTTTGTTAATATTTATTCACATATGTTTGGAAAACTATTTTTTCTTTTCAATAAAAACTGTATATAATTTATAGCTCAATTGAATTGATTCATTATATTACACATACCTGTATGGAACTTATATTTATAAGCAGGAAAGAGAGCTTGCTAGTAATAGTATAAAACATGTATTTTAATCGCCTCACACATGCACAAACATTAATTTAAACAAAGTTATAAAAAATTAGATTTTAGTTGCTTATTTCAGAAAAAGTTATTTTTATATGAAATTATTACATGTTAATATTGCTTGTCGTTCGAATAAATAAATAAATAAATCTGTGAAGTACGTGCTATCGAAACTTTAACATAAAAGTTACAAAACTTATTTCAATTAATAAATGTTGAATTTTTTTAAAAAAACACTAAATTGATTAAAAATAAATAGTGTTTAAGAAATTTTATTATAAACGCTTTACAAGGTAGTTCTTTTATTTAAATTTAGATAACCCCGCTTGCTTGCTTTAAAATTTTAGTTTTCAAATAACAATCATGCTTTCAATAGCTAGTTTTTCAATGAATATTTTGTGAATAATGAATAAATAACGTAACAATAAATAATTCTTATACAAAAAGAATTATAAAAAGGTAATAAACTTTTATGTAGTTTGCATTCTCTTGTGAGTTTTATTAAGCAAAAAAAAACCCTGAAATATACATAATTACTCTAAGTTCACGGAAACGGCACTCCACCAAAAAGTAAATTTCTTGAAAATATCCGATGCGATATTGTTTAATTCGTTTTATTCAAGAATCAGACGACCAAACTGTATACAGAATTTAATGCTGCCACTGCAATCTTCACAGATTCGAACCACTTTTCTCCCAAATGCTCTCTTGGATAATAAGGAGAGTCGATTCCTCCTTAGGTTCACAAAAAAAATTTATTTTAATTACCTTTTATGAAATAGTTACAATTAAATAGTGGTCCCGACTGACGTTGTCCTGTACACGCGTCTTAAATTCGAAAATTACAAACTTTTTTGAATAAGTTGCAACAATCTGGACCGTTTTGATGATTTTTTTTAAAAAGAAAGTTATTACAATACCTGACATCATCACATGAACAGTTAAAACAATTCGACCTATCGATTGCGTGTGAGTATGTATTTACTATGAACTAAGTTGAATATAGAACCTATTCTGAATAGAAACTTAGACTTGTTTTGATTAAAGGGTAAAAAAGATAAAAAAAACTCGAGCTATTTTTATAACAGGTATATTTTTAACGCACAAAAATACATTTATCGTATTGCCATTGAATGTACAATGTTTTTGGTTAATCCTTGAGGGGTATAAGCAAACAAATGCCATGGTTTGCCAAACCTCGAACATGCAAAATATAATTGGCCGTGAGGAAAGCAAGGGTTTTCTAAATCTAAACCACAAATTGTCATTGTTTGATCTTGTGTCTTATTAATGGTCATATCTAATGCCAAGCGAATTGGAAATTGCAAACATTTGAATGGATAGGTGAGTCTGAAAGAATCATTGGGATCTGTGGTAGAAGTACAAATTCACCTTGAAGATTGCCACTCAAAATAGGGGCCTCAAGAATATTGCCCATGATTTTGTTATGAACAAACACCCGCCCTTACATAATTTTGGTGCACTTTTAGCTAATTGCGATATCGATTGTGAATCTAAATCATTCTCGAATTTACTTGAATCCACACAAGAAATATCATCCAAATCGGACCAGCCGTTTAGGAGGAGTTCGGTCACATACACACCACAGAAGAACTAAATATCTAAAGATTATTTGAAAAGATATTAATTAAAAGCGCTAAAAAGTATGATTCGTCTACATTTTTGTAACAATGAAGACCCGGTCTGGCCAGTTTGGCGTAAAATCGATTTTCGACTCTAACTTACGTAACAATAACGTTGTTACAACAATGCAGTTGAATATTGAGTTGAGAGTTTTTAAAGTTTTTAATTAATATATTTTTAACTAATTACGATATCGGACCAAGTTGTGAATCTAAACCATTCTCGAATCCTTTGAAACAGACACAAAAAATTTCGTAAAAATCGGTAAAGCCGTTTAGGAGGAGTTTAGTTACATACACACGCACAGAAGATTTTTATATATAAAGATATAAATATGTATATACATATAACAAAATCACAATATTAAGTGACAAAATAGAAAGCGATTTTCCGTGTAATATTCCGTTTCCTTTTTATATAGGGTGCTGGACTATTTTTTTTTGTTTGCTACTATTTATTCATTAATTAAATTTAATTATTGTAATAAAATAATATAGTAAAAAATCACATTTTCAGAAAATAGGCCATCCCTGTTGGGATTCGAACCTACGACCTTTGGATCTGAAGTCCAACGCGCTATCCATTGCGCTACAGGGACACAGTGATCGATTTTCCTTTCTATATATGCTGCTGTACTATTATTTGTGTTTGTTACTGTTATTTCATTTTTTAATTTAATGAATGAATTAATATTTATGTAAAAACTGTATTAAAATCAAGTGTAATCTACTACAAGTTTAAAAAATGTTTTTGAACTTGAATGGGTCAATAGAAAGCGTATATTTTATTAACAATTGAAAATTTGAACGATATATATATATGTGTGTGTGTGTGTTGTGTGTGTGTGTGTGTGTGTGTGTATCTCTATGTATAAAAATATTATGTTGGTTTGTGTACGCTTCCATAACTCAAAAAGTTTTGCATCGATTTATCTGATATTTTGACATAACGTTGCAATTGAATGCGGTCAGATTCTTATGTACGTTTTATTCTGAAATTCACTTTAAATTTTTTAAAATTTAATTAAGTGATTTTTTGGTGTTATGACGTCATATTATGTCACGATTTGCTCTGAATACGAAAATTTATACTTTGTGGGTATAAATGTTCCCGGATTATTACATATTTTTACTGTAGATATGTTTATTGGTTGTCATATGTATCCATTTTTTGTCCTTTAATACGTATATATATATATATATATATATATATATATATATATATATATATATATAATTGGGATTAATTTTCAAATAAATCATTTTTTTAAAATTATTCTTCCAACATTTTTTTATTCCTTAATACGTAATTGGGATTAATTTTCGAATAAATTATTTTTTTAAAATTATTCTTCCAACAGTTCAAATTTTATTTTGTAGATTTGGCAACATTCCTATAGCCTTAACGCAGGTTGTTTACGATTTTTCTTATATGTTACATCATGTTTTATTCTGTAATTTTAAGCTAAATTTGTTTCTTTTTATTAAGTGATAATTATAATTATAACTGACTTCTGTACGTTACTTATTTTTCGGCAAAATAGTTGTTAGAATTTCTTTAAGATTTGACGTTAACATTAGACTGGCCGTCTGATCTGCACAAACGGTTAGCGTACTGGTTGAAATATACAGTAATCCTTGATCAAATTAATTTTTGTTTATTTTTTTATATAGTGCCCACACTTTTTTTCCTTGGCAATTAACATCAAATTGAAAGACGTCACCAAATGCCGCGATATATGCTTTCAATGTTTGGAAACTGTTCTATGCATATTCGAACGCAATATTTTTTTATACCTGGAGGCATTTTAATTTGGTGAAATTATATATAATCGACAGGATTTTAAGTAAGTAAGTTGTTTTCTCTATTTTTTAAAAAAAATTATAATTAATTTGATATTATTAATGAAATACAAATGGCAAAATTTAGGTTTTCTAATACAGCGGTCATCAAACTTTTTGACCTTACGGCCCAGTAAATTCATAATTTAAATCCCGCGGACCAGTAAAGGATTTTGTAAGTGTTACATTATTGTTATGAATTATGTTGCAATGCATCTTAAAACATAATTTAACGTGATGAGTAAGTATATTCCACATTTTTTCTGGGGACCAGTGAAATTTTTTCGCGGACCACCACTTTGGCGACCTCTTCCAATATATAGGGTGTTTTTTTTAGAGGTATAGAAATTTAAATTGCAATAAAACAACGATGTATTATTCGAAAGATAATCTTGTGGCATTACATTTTAAATATGATTTCTGGCATAGGACTGCCACGGCTGGCTCGGATGTAGTCCAATCTGGACGTCCAACTTTCGATGACTTTTTCCAACATTTGTGGCCGTATATCAGCAATAACACGGCGAATGTTGTCTTCCAAATGGTCAAGCGTTTGTGGCTTATCCGAATAGACCAATGACTTTACATAGCCCCACAGAAAATTGTCTAGTGGTGTTAAATCACAAGATCTTGGAGGCCAATTCACAGGTCCAAAACGGGAAATTAGGCGGTCACCCAACGTGTCTTTCAATAAATCGATTGTGGCACGAGCTGTGACACGTTGCGCCGTCTTGTTGGAACCACAGCTCCTGGACATCATGATTGTTCAATTCAGGAATGAAAAAGTTAGTAATCATGGCTCTATACCGATCACCATTGACTTTAACGTTGTGGCCTTCATCGTTTTTGAAGAAGGATTCCACCAGCCCATAAAGCGCACCAAACAGTCAGTTTTTCTGGATGTAACGGTGTTTCGACATACACTTGTGGATTAGCTTCACTCCAAATGTGGCAGTTTCGTTTGTTGACGTAGCCATTCAACCAGAAGCGCACTTCATCGCTAAACAAAATTCGCTTATGAAAATCGGGAACAACGGCAATCTCGTTTTGGGCCCATTCGACAAATCAACGCCTTGCTTGGTTATATTTAAAATGTAATGCCACAAGATTATCATTCGAATAAAAAAAAATTCATGTCAATCGAATAATACATCGTTGTTTTATTGCAATTTAAAGTTCTATACCTCTAAAAAAACACCCTTTATATTTTGAATAAACAAAGTATTAAACCTTATTTTGATTTTAATGGCTTTTTAAAATTTAAGTTTATGTTATAATTTTCTTTAACAGATTCCATTTGTAATTTGTTAACAGAATACTTGAATTACTGCGGTTTGCTTGGTACTTAATATTGCAGCAATCCCCAACGTTCAAATTAACTCGCCAACTAGGCAAACTTTATTTCCCATGTGTTGTATGAGCTGAATTGGCAATCATGTAACGTCGATTCATTTCATGTAACATCAGCCAATAGGGTGCGATAATACACTCATGTCCATAAATTAAGGATAATGAAGTTCAGGCAAAGAAAGAGACAGAAGCAAAACAAATTTTACTTATTTATAAAGTGTATTTATTAAACAAAAGGTAAAGAGCAAAAAAGATGCTATATGTTTGACATAATTAATAAAAATTGCGATTTTTACTCCCTGGAGCAAATTTTAAAAAAAAGAACCTATTTACAAAAAACAGTATAACATGGTTTGTATGATGGTTAATAAAGAGTATGTCTCCCGGACGATGCAATACAGGCCTTACAATGCCTAGGCATGCTGAGTATCAAATTATCAATCTGATCTTGGGGAATATTACACCACTCATCAAGCAATGCCCTCCGAAGTTCCGGCAGACAGGTGGGAGGGGGTTGACGGGCTGCAATTCGTCGGCCAAGCATATCCCAAACATGCTCTATTGGATTCAAGTCCGGTGAATATACTGGCAAATCCATATGGGTGATATCCTCCGAATGAAGGCATTCGTCTACAATGTTTGCACGGTGAGGACGGGCGTAGTCATCCATAAACAGAAATTCAGCACCCATGGCACCCTGAAACAAACGTACGTGTTGTTCCAGAATGACATCCCGATAGATGTGGCCTATCATCGTAACACTCTGAACATGCAGGTCAGTTCTGGAACCAAGAATAATTCCTCCCCAAACGAGCCATCCTGCACCACCATAACGGTGTCGTTCAATGGTGTTCTCTTGGTGGTAACGGGTACCTGATGCTCTCCATATTAAAGTCCGGCGAGAATCAGACTGCAAACTAAACCTGAATTCGTCGGAAAACATCACACAAGACCACTGTTGTGGTGTACACAATGCATGCTCTCTACTCCAGGTTAATCGCAGGCGACAGTGAGTTGCGGTAAGTAGGACACATCTGACAGGCCTACGACCATATAGGCCAATGTGCCCTAAGCATCTGTAAACGGTCTGCCTTGAAACTATTGTACCGGTAGCTGAAGAGATATGAAGAGACAGGCCTGATGCTGTACTCTGTCTGTTTCTTTTGGCAGTAACTGCCAAATATACTGGTCCTTATTCGGCGTTGTAACTTGGGGGTGACCTGTTCTGTAACATCTACTCACATTACCATCATCTTGGAATCGTTGCCAAAGCCTGGAGATGACTCTCTGGGCGTTTCCAAGTTCCTCAGATACTTCCAGCTGGATACGTCCACATTCCAGTCGTACAATAATTCTACCACGTAAAAAATCATCCAAATGGTTCCTTTGTGCCATAACTATGCGGTTATTGCACTGAAAGGCTTTTAAAGCGCTTGTGAACAATTTTACTTCTTTGCCACCATTCCTTATATACTCCTCTCTTACACTCTCGTCATTGTGACGTACTATCCGCGCAATCTGGTGGTTTCCTGTAATTTGCATATTCTTCTTCAAGATGTGGGTGATAATTCTACAGGTGAAATTTTTGTTTTAGAGTTCAATTTCTGTGTGATTTTGAATTATCCTTAATTTATGGACATGAGTGTATGCAAGTACCGTTTGCTTTTGTCAGGGACATAGCTACCGCTGTATCAGCTGTAAGATGCAAGGCCCCCAAGCTACAGCGGTCCCAATACTTGTTACTACAGTCTCACTAACATGGTGCTCATATCTGAAAAAGGGCCCCCAAAAGATTTTGATACAGGGCCCACTTAGAGCTGTTTTGCAATTTCATATGTTTTTATTTTAAACTTCTTTATAAGTGTAGTCAATCGGCTTCAGTGCATAAAATTGCCTTGCAGAAAATCGAACTTAGGTCATTATACTGGACAAGCAAAAACAGTGTTAGTAGAAATTACATATCGAACTGGAATAGGCATCAGAGAATGAGCAAAACAGACAAATGGCTTAAATAGCTGTTGAAGAAGCAGGTAGTCGTAAGATAAATTATTTTTGGTACTTATGTACTATCCTAACAATCGCCAACGTTCAAAATAACTTGCGAAGTTGGAAGCCCGATTTCGCATATGATGCATGCGCTGAATTGGCAATCATGTGCTTCGTTTCATATAATGTCGCCAATAGGTTGCGATAATACATAAATACCTTATTTTTTCAAATTATACTTTCGCATTGATAAAGATAGTTCAGTTCTTTTTATGTCAGTTAACGTTAGTATAGTACTTCGCTTTTCAATTTATTTTTATATATATGCTCGGGATATATACTTTAAATAATTTTTTATATTAAATACTAATTTTATAATTTGGTTCTTACGTATTGTGGCACAATCGCCAACTTTCAAGAT